CTGAGCAGGGAGCCTGATGCGGGGCTCGATCCCAGGACCCTGGGACCATGACCTGAGCCGAAGGCAGACGCTTAACGACTGAGCCACCCAGGCGCCCCTGTAATCCATCAGTTATAAGAATCACTTTATTTTTATATTTTAAGATCTCTGAAATTGAGTTGTATTTCACAAATACTAGAATCTTACAAATTATCACCAATCTCCACCCCCTTCATTTTTTTAATATCTCTGAAATCTGGATGAGTCTTAAAATCCATGGCATCTTAGAATCACTGAAACGCCAAGAGTAAAAATCCTCACTTCCTTGTCATTTCCCAAAGGCAACTTTGGAAGAAGTCTGCTTAACTGCATGAAAAACAAGCAGCTAAAATTCTTTAGATATTAATGACCCTAAAAAGAACTGAAGCTTCTGTCCCATAATTCTTAAATGAAAGAATTTATCAATATTAGCCTATTATGTGACAATTCTGGATCATTACCTAAAGCATTCATTCATTCAGCAAATATTTATTGAGTGCCTAATATATGTCTGACACAGGTTTGTGCGCTGTGGGTAGCAATGAACTAATTCCATGCCCCTCCAGTCTAAGTCCCTGACATTTAAATTTTAGTTGAGGTGAGAAGGCAGGTGGTAATACAAGTTCTAGGAAAAGAACATCGATAACAGGGAAACAATGCCAGAGAGCAAGAGGAGATTATTATCTGAAAAAGGACAGTTAAGAAATATCCCTCTAGGCAGGTGGCATTTAACAAATCCTTTCCTGAAGGGACTGAAGACACAAAGGATTTAAATAATCGGTGGAAGAATCCTCCAGGTAAAGAGAATGCAAGTGGGAAACTCTCCGGGAGAGGAGTATTGCCTTCAAGGAATATCAAGGAAGCCAAATCTGTCCCCAGCATCTCCAGGAATCTCCTTGTCTTGATCCTCATTCTTCTAAGGTTTTAACATTAAATATGAGAGTGTGTCTAATGTTTTAACATTAAGTAGGATGCTATTGTTTGTGGAAGGTTTCCAAAGGAAAAAAACAAACAAACCCTATTGTATCCTAATCTGTTAAGAGCTTTTACCATCCATGGATGCTAAATCTTATCATCTGTTGAGATGATCACATTTGCTTCTCTTCTATTCTGTAATATAATAATTGAAAGATTTTCTAAAACTAAACCGTCCTATCATTTTTGGAGAAACCTTACTGGGTTATTTATGTCTAATTATTCTTTTGATATACTACTGGATCAATTTGCTAGTATCTTACTTAGTGTTTTTGCATCTGAGTTATAAACTGAATTGAGCCCAAGGTTTTCTTTGGCTTTTTCCTGTTTTGGCATCAGTGTTACGCTAGTCTTATCAAATGAGTTGGGTATCTTCCTGTCTTTCTATGAACTAACAGTATAATCTGTGTAAAATGAGAAGTCCTTGAAGGTTTTGTAACGCTTACTCAGGTTTGCAGCTTTAGAAAGTGGTTGGCATTTAAATATATTTACACAAATTTTCCTTAATTATTCCAGTTTTCTAGAATCTCATATTCTATATGAGACGAATATATTCATTTTTATTTTTCTATGAAGTTACTTTTATATAGGTTTTCATATGTATTGGCTTAAACAAAAACTTATGAAAATTTCCTTTATAACTGCAGTCATGCTCTCTCTTAGTTTCTTGGTGTTTATTTCATTATTTTCTTGCTTAGACTTTTCAAACTGTGTCTAATATTTTGGTCGTGATAACTGCTTTTTCTTTCATTTTTAAAGAGCATTATTGAGATATATAATTCACATACCATATAATTCACCCATTTAATACACACAATTAAATAGTTTTCAGTATATTTACAGAAGTTATACAAGTATCACCACAATCAACTAGAATATTTTTGTTACCCTCACAAGAAACCACATACCTATTATCAGTCATTCCTATTTCCTCCCTGGCCCCCTACTCTCTGACCCAGCCCTAGGCAACCACTAATCAATCTACTTTCTGTCCCTATAGATTTGCCTATTTTGGACATCTCCTATAAATAAAATTATATAATATTTAGTCTTTTGTGACTGGCTTCTTTCACTTGGCAAATATTTTCAAGATTCATCCATGTTATAGCACTTGCCAGGACTTAATTCGTTTTTATGAATGACTATTCCACTGTATGGATATACTACATTTTGTTTATCCACTCATTAGTTAATGGATATTTGGGTTGTTTCCAACTTTGGCTAGTAAGAATAAGGCTGCTATCAACACTCATGAGCAAGCTTTTGTGTTGATATATGCTTTACTTTTCCTAGGTATATACCTAGGATTACTGGGTCATATAGAAACTCTATGTTTAACCAATGGAGGAACTAACTACCTGTTTTCCGGAGTGGCTGCATCACTCACCCACCAACAATTAATGAGGGCTCCGATTTCTCCACATCCTCACCGATACTTGTTATTATTTCTTTTATTATAGCCATCCCAGTGGGTATGAAGTAGTATCTCACTACAGTTTGTATTTTTTTTTTAAAGATTTTATTTATTTATTTAACAGAGAGAGACAGCAAGAGAGAGAGTGAGCGAGCACAAGCGGGGGAGTGGGAGAGGGAGAAGCAAACTCCCTGCTGAGCAGGGAGCCCGATGTGGGGCTCGATCCCAGGACCCTGGGATCATAACCTGAGCCAAAGGCAGATGCTTAATGACTGAGCCACCCAGGTGCCCCATCTCACTACAGTTCTGATGGCAGCTAATATTGAGCATTTTTTCATTTGCATTTCACTTTCATTTTTTTTATAGCCATCCCAGGGGTATGAAGTGGTATCTCACTGCAGTTCCCTGGCAACTAATATCAAGCATTTTTTCACATGCATATTGGTCATCTGAATATCTTTTTGGAGCAGTATCTATTCAGATCCTTTGCCCATTTTATAATAGGGTTGTCTTTTTTATTATTGAGTTGTAGAAGTTTATAATAGCTTCTAATTATAAGTCCCTTATCAGATATGATTTGTAAAACCAATCTGTGGATTATCTTTTCACTTTTTTAATGGTATACTTGAAGCATAAAAATTTTTATTTTTTTCTTTTGTTGCTTGTGCCTGGTGGCTTTTTCAAATGTTTATTTCTATTTTATTTCACTGATTCATTTCCTTTACCCTCTGAGTATAGCCTAATCTTTTTTTAAAATTTCGAGTTAAAAGCTCAGAACACCAAAGATTGAAAGTACAATAATAAATGCTGCAAAATTTCCTCTATCACTTTGGCCATATAACCCAGATTTTGATAAATGGTAGCTTTTGATAAATGTTGTTTTTAGTTCTAAATAGTAGACAATTTCTACTTCTATTCCTTCTTTAACCCAAGAATTACCTAGAATTAAAATAAATTTTTCAGGTTGTTTTGTTGTTTGGATCATATTTTTGTTTATTTTCAGTGTATTCTACTGCATTAGGTGAACTTCTTTGAAATTAGCTAAAATTTCCTTTATAAGATAGTATAATACATAGACTATTTTTTATCAATGTTCCACATAAAGAAAATGTACTATTTTTTTTCCATTTTACACACAGTGCATTGACTGTCAATTAGTTATCCAAATTTTCTGTTCCCTATATTACTTTTTTGCTACTTAATCTGGTGGTTTCTTAAAGGTATTATTGTGACCTTACAAATTTCTCCTTTGAATTCTATCTTTTTCTTTATGAATCTCAAAGCTTATAAGCTTATAAGGAAGGCTTAAAGCTACTACATTCTTGGTGGGTTAATTAGTAATCTAGGAGAAAAAGTCATCTTTTTAAAATTTTTTAATTTTTTTGCTTTAAACTTTATTTTGTCTGACATTAATTTTGGTACACATTTCTGGGTAAAGAGTCAATAAAACCGCTTCCCCTTTTGCATGAGCAAGTGATGTTCATCTAACTTTCTAGCACTAGAGCCACCCTGTATAATAAAGTAGACACTAGCCCCACATGGCTAATGGCTGATATTGTACAGGTCAGAAAAGACACCACCATCATTGCAGAAAATTATTTTGAAGAGCAATTATTCTAGGAAGTTGAGTTTAGGTTTGATTAGCTTACCCTAGAAGTAGAATTGCTGTATCAAAAGTATGCACATTTAAAAATGACACAGATTCTAAAATTTTCTCCAGTGTGTGATGTCAATTTACACCTAATCCATCAGTATATAAAAGTCCAATGTTTCTCAAGAAATGGTATGATTTGGTTTAATTTGGACTTATTTGATTAATACAATTAAACATGTTTTTACATGCTTATTTATCTTTTGTAACGGGTCTACTTACATTTGGTTTAGAGATTAATATAACTTAAGCACAAATGCTAGAAAACTGTTACCATTACATTTCATATATTATCCATTCTTATAAAAAGTAAAGCACTTTATTCAACTTTTTAAATTTTACCTCATCCAAACAGTTGACATGGACATTCTTGCTGGCTAATAGTGTTCCGGCTTCTTGGACAGTACCTTTAAAAAAGAAAAAAAAAAAAGGAAGGAAGGAAGGAAAGAAAAAAAAATGCAAAATAAGGTTATTTATCATTACAACAGGAAAAAAAAATCTAGCATCATGGAAACAAACGTTAAAGGGTTATATATAAAACTAAAACTAGTCTGGTTAGATTGTTAAGAAATAAAGCATCAACACACAGTATTTTTTCCACCAAGTAATTATCCAGAAGAACAGATTTATAGAAACTAAAATAGCTCCATCTTGTTTTTACTTCCACTGACCTTAGGGTATATTAAATTGGCCATATTTTCCTTTTGGCAGTGATACAATAACCACAAAGCATAAATAAGACTCTTAATACTGAAATCTTGAAGGGCATCTAGTCCAACCCACCATCTAAACCTTAAATTCCAGTCAATGTAATAACTGGAGTTCTCAGTACAGTCAGTATTTCTATACTCTGTCATCACCAGACGCTGTGACTTGATGGCAGCATACTTATAATAGAATTCTTGGTTTAGAAATGCTTAGGTAAACATTTCTTTGAAGGCTGGTTCCATAGAAAAGTGCCTTATAGTCAGTACTCAGACTGTCATAATTAATGACCTCAAACATAAACCTGAAGGTTAGTCCTTTGTAAATTTGGAAATAAGCTATAATGGGGCCACAACCGTCAGGTTTTTCCAGTCTTCTGTAAGGCATACTGACACAATCAAGTAGTTGCAAGAGAGAATGTTGCTATTATCATCGTTAATAATAGTCAGCTACTTGTTCTGCCAAAAAAATTCTGGTTTGACGGGGAAAGGAACAATGAAATTGAACGTTCTCAGGAAGAAAGGATGAGATGAGCCTCTTCTCCACAAGGACATAAAAGAATAGGAGCATCCCACAACTAGGAGTTTTTTCTTTCAACTGAAAATTATAGTTTAGGAACGTGCTAAATTCTGCTAGTTTTCCAGAGTTAAATGTGGAATGCAGAATAAAGATTAGCATGCTTCTCTCTCCCTCACCTGCTCCTTAGGCAAGTCATCTGGTTGCCTCACACCAACAGGGAACAGACAGAGAAATGTCTCCTAGATTGACAGAGAAATAGCTCTGCTGGGGAAATGTGTCAAGTGAGTGATCTACAAGTCCCTGGATTCTGACAGCAGCTATCTTGTAAAAAGCGCATTTTTCTGACCCTGTACTCCACCTGAGGGCAGTTAGTATCACGGGCTGAAGGGCTACGGAATGAATGGGGGAAAGCTCTCAAGCACGTAAGCAAGTTCTACGTGGAACTTATCCATATCTGGCCTTCTCATCAGAGACTTTCTCCTACATCTTTAGAAAGGAATTAAAATAGAACAAAAACTCCGGCACCCCAATTTCACTTCAGGAAGATGCTTTGGTTGATTTCCATTATCCAGTGAGAAATGACTGAAGTGATTTTCCCATCTGATTAGGAGATGTTTACACAGGAAAGGGAGAATACTAGAGGGACTGTGAGCCCGTCAAAGCATGCTCCATGTTGGGAGAGGGTGCGGATTATAATAATAAACATTTGGCTCACTGTGAGAGAATAGGTCAATAATTCTATAAAATGTTTAGCCCAATGGCCAACAGTCTAAGTTAAATCTGTCTTGTCAGGAAGCAATTTAAAATAAGTAAATAAAGATGAGGCATGCACACATATACCCCTGAATACCAGTTAGCCTTTTAAAATGCAGGGACCAAGATGAAAATTTTTTTCTCAAACAGATTTTGGAAAATAGATGAGCAAAATACCCAAAGAAGAAAAACTTGTGATGACTTCTAATTTTATTTTCCTAATTTAATGACATCAGTAGAAAATTATAGAAGGTTTGGAATACACTTAAATATGCACCATTTATCGTACTTTATACCTCAATATAGTTGGCTAAATAAACCTTATTGTCCAAGCCTGTTTCATAATTCCTCTTATGTAAATAACGAAAAAAAAGCAGTAAATTCATTACTTTCTCATTAAGTCCACAATCCCAGAGATTTCAGGTACTAAACAAGTAATGAAGATCTTCTGGTTTATACCCTTAAGGAAAGTTTATTTTGAAATAGTGCTTCCTCAGTGCTTAACAAAAGAGATATCAGAACTTAGAAGAATGGGTCAATCTGCATGTCATATAAGCCCACTGGATGTGCTTCAGTGATTTCAATTTTCTTTTCTTAAATGTCATTGAATGGGTGCCATCATTAACTATGATATGAATGCTATATATGAAAGAGCTTCTCAGTTTTATCTGGAACTTCTTCTTGGCATTTCTAACAAATATACAATCTATAAACTACCTAGCACATGAATTCACTTGAAGAAGAAATCATTCTAAAAGTGTCCAGGAGCAATGTATAGCATTCTCTAGATTGTTAAGTATCACTCACAGTCCGCTTAACTTCTGAAGGGCACTGACTGACCGAAGAGAGATACTCAGTAATTTGCTGAGTTTATTTTGGATTGGCCAAAATGACAGGTCATACTTGGCTGAAAATTTATTGTCAGTTCCAGGTACTAGTGCTGACTAATCTAGTACTTCCCAAAGTCGAGAAATATATTAAAGGGGAAAAAAAAGAATTAAGAACTCTACCCACCCACTTGAAAAAAAATGTTTCTTATGAATATAAATATAAACTTCGCTTAGGACCTTCATTCCATTGTAAACCAAAAAATATTTTACAAATTAAACACACAAAACCACAAAATCAGTAACATTTAGAATTAAAATGAATTTAACTTGACAGATGATACTGCATTGCTGAAATTAAATTGCCTCTAGAAGTGACTATGGTATGGACTGCTATGGTTCTGGTTTCATTTTTTTGCTTAGTTTGTTTTCTTTTCTTTTTTTTTAATTTTATTTATTTGACAGAGAGAGAGAGAGAGATCACAAGTAGGCAGAGCAGCAGGCAGAGGGAGAGGGAGAGGGAGAAGCAGGCTCCCCACCGAGCAGGGAACCCGATGTAGGGCTCCATCCCAGGATCCCGGGATCATGACCTGAGCCGAAGGCAGATGCTTAACCGACTGAGCCACCCAGGTGCCCCTGTTTAGTTAGTTTTCAAGTCCAGTGTATTTCTAGGACTATAGGCCAAATGCTATCTCTGCTTTGCCACTTATTTCCTGTGTGACACTGGACAAGTTATCTAACTTCTCAGTTCCTCAGTTTCTGTGTCTATAAATTGGAGATCACTGTCTTTACCATAATAACAGACAAGACAAACAGCACTTTAAATGCTTTACAGACACTAACTGATTTGATCCTCCCAACAATGTTAACCAAGGAGAACCGGAAGCTCAGAAACAGTAACTTGCCCAAGGCCACATCACCAGCAAATGATTGTGGTAGGATTCCAAATCAGACCTGCATGGTGAACCAACACCCCATATAGTCTCTCATCATGCTGTTGCTTAAAAATAATTCCTAGCTCATCAAAATCAAATGTATCAACATATGTAAAGTGCTAAGAATTATGCCTGGCTCATACCAACATTCAATAAAGGCTGACTATAGTTGTTATTTTCTCATATCTCCCATTATTTTTCTTTGAGAGTACAGTGATGTCCCAAGGACCTTCACTTGACAAGAATGTATCACAGACTAAGTCCGTCTCAGTTATTTTCTCATGGCTTGGGCCAATGAAATTGGTGAACCACGTTGTCTCGGCTCGAATGCAACTTGATGTACAGTGTGGACCCAGAAACATCACAGCACTAACCAGACTAAACTTGACATTAATTCTCTTTTACACCATCTTTAAAATAAAAACTGGTGTACACCTAAGAAAATATCCAAGGATCCTCCCCATCCCTTCCAGAAACCCACTTTATAAAACTGCTCACTTGCTTATACTTTGAAAAACTGATAGCTCTGGACTGTTTAAAAGCAGAATGTGGGTGGATTTTGAGTGGATCCTGTTTCCTTTTGCCCAGCACAGTACCTGGCACACAGTGGGGGCTCCCATGATTTCTGAACTGAATCCCAGAGCCACTGAGGGAAGGGAGAAATTACCCAGAGACAGGAGGAACAAAAGACTGCAGTGCTAAAAAGGTCGGCCACAACTGTGCAGAACAAACAATAAAAGCACCAACTCCATATCCCATAGTTCTAGGCAAAGAAGACTTGTGATAAATGTAGATGTGACTGACTTAAAATTGTTGAGATCAGATGAGGTGGGCTCAGCTCATCAGCACCTGCTGGGTTCAAATCTGATTTTTTTTTTTCTCTTTTACATTTAGACTTCCCTTGTCAGTATGAAGAATAAATTTGCCTTACTCTCTGAGGGGGTCCAGATTTGAGCCTGGCTGCTTAAGCGAAAGAAGACTGGAAACTGGGAAGCCTTTATGCTGCGATAACTGGCCTCTCTGCCATTCCAGGGCAGATGTGGCTATCTCACTCTTGAGCGTAAACCAACCACCTTAACTCTGTCCGCAGCCCCACCCATGCCCATCCCCGAGCTGTGACTGTGCGGGAGAAGCCACGTAGTCACGCTCTTGGCACCTGCCAGGTAACGGGACTCAGCAGGGAACTCCTCCGGGACATCCACTCGGGGACTGAAGGAGAAACATGGCTTCTGGCTCGTCCCGGCGGCCTACATCTCCCTCCCCAGCACCCGAAGGGGCGGAAGTGGGACAGGCGTTGGGAGAGTGGAAGGGAAGGCGCAGAAGAGCGCGGGGAGAAGATCGAAGCTGTGCTAAGTGCGCCGAGGGCTGGGGACGCCTAGCCTACCTCTTCGCTTCCCTGCGGGTTCCTGCGGGGGCCGGGGGCTTCTGGAAGGAAGCCGGGGAGGCCCGGACGCAGAACCCTCAATGTAGCGAATTACAGACCTAGTTCTGTGCCGTTATAAAGAACCCTTCTCCTTAGGAGTTCCCTCCACCCCCAGGCGGGGGCGGGGACAGCTATGGGATCCAGATCTTTCGGCCTCCGGAAGTCGAAACGGCCCTTTAGACACCCTTCTAAGAACCTGAGGCCACTGTCGCCAAGACAGACGGTGGTCAAAATCACCTGGAGAGTTTCAAAGCATGCGCATCATGGGACCCACACACAGAGGTCTCTCATTATAATCTAAGCTGGGACCTGGAAATGTGTATCTTTCCAAAGCTGGTTTGGGAGACGAACCCCTGCAGCCTCCGTTCTTGTCCCAGCGTCTCGTCCCCCTCCTCTCCGCCCCCGCAACCGGTCCCAGGCCACTGGGAGAAACGCTATTTCCCGGTGCGAGGCCACGAACCTCGCAGAACCGCAGCGGAGGGTCAGCCCGGCCAGGGGCGCCCCCAGGGCTCCGCCACGCCCCCAGACCAGGCAGGCAGCGGCCCGTTGCAGCCCAGCACCCATACCTTTCCCGATGACTTCTAGCAGCTCCTTTTCTTCCTGGGTCAGCTCGCCTTTCGTTATATGAACCATTGCTCCCGCCAGCTTGAAGATGATTCTGTTTCTTTGGAGGTATTAGAAAGAAACTATGTGTGTGTGTGTTAGGAATGCCAACCGCAATGGGGCAACTCGAGACCAGGACGCTGAGTAGCCAACCGCGGAAGCGTTCGAATTCTCTCCTCCCTCCCGCGGGCTGGCGAGCAGCTGGCGAGCTCCAGCGAGCCGGGAGGTCTGTCGCTGCAAGCCCAGCGACAGTCACCGCCCGCCCGCGCGTCATTGGCCAGGCCGGGAGGAGGAGCTACAGGAGGTGGCAGCGAGAGACTCCTATTGGAGCAGCCTGGCAAGGAAAAACCCAGTGGAGAAAATCAGAGGGGGGAATCAAATTCCTCTTCCACCTTCCCCACCCCCTTCCTGCGCTCTGTTCAGATATTTAGACACACGCAATATTTAAATTCTCTTTTCAGAAGTTCCGGGTCCGCCCATGGCTGCTCGGGGCGTGCAGAGGTCCCTGGCTGTCTCCACAAGCCCCCACCGTTTTCCCAGGAGTGGCGCAGCCCGGGACGGGGGCGGGCTGGGAGGCGGGGCGGTGCGGGAGGCGGGGCTGCGCCGGGCTCTGTGGGTCGATGTCAATGTGTCTGTCCTTCACTCCTCCATTGTCTGCCGCCGCTACTGCCGCGGGTGCCACCGCCGCTGCCGGAATCGCCGCAGCCTGCAGCCTCGCGCGTCGCCGCTACCTCCTCCGACAGGTGAGAAGCAACCCAGGTGGGACAGGGGAAGCCTGGAAGGCTGCGGGAACCGCGGCCGCCGCCCCGCCGGGGGCTTCCATCCGGGCGGGAGCTGGCGGGCAGGAAGCATGTGCCTGCTGGGGCGGCTTCCTGTACCCCGGTGGGGAAGCCTGCCCTCTACCCCAGTACCATCGCGTATACCGCGTATCAGTACCCCAGATTGAAGATTCGCCACTTGCCACATTTGGCCGCCTGCGGAGACCCTGGGACAGAGCCGGCGGGGGCGGGCCACGCGGTGGGAAGCGGCGGGTGCATATCGTCTCGTGCGTGGCATCGCCAGATGCGGCTTCCCAGAGGCCGGGACTGGGGCTTGGGGTTAGGGGTGGGATGGGGAGGAGCGCTCCCCAGTGCGAGCGAGGTGGACGCATCATGAGAATAGTCTCTGAAGAAGGTAGTTCTCTTTTGGCAAGCCTCGACCGCCACCCCCTTACCCCCCTACCCGCGCTGTCCAAAACACACACACTACTTGTCATCTCTGGCCTCTGTGGAAGCTACAGAAGAAAACCGGATCTGATCGCCCTATGGTGCCTGTTAAGGATGTTTGAAAGCAATTTACACTTAAACTAATACTTCGTTTATGAGAGATGGCTTGGGGGGGAAGGGGGAAAGGAGGGCCTCTGCTCTGCTAGAGTTCCCAGTCTCTTTGTAACTCAGATCTTGAGATTTATGGAAATAGGGAGGGGAGGGGAAGGGGGCGGAGATTAAATTGGTGTTGCTGTCTATATATAGCCTTAGATTAGCCTCTTAATCCAACCTTCATTCAACTGTAATATGTTGCCTCGAGCTTTGAGCTTCCACCGTAGGTACCTAGGTGGTAAATGCAAGTGTGTACCCTCTTGTGGCTCAGAAGCAAGACTTGCTGGCTAATACGAAGTCAGTCATTCCTCCAGGGCGCGCATCCGTAACATACTTACAGCCTCAATGAAAGCTTCTTTAGAAATAAGTGTTTATGTGTTACTGTTGTTTCTGTATGGACTAGTATTGATTTTTCTTCCTAGACTCATGTACTTCAAAGAGAAATACTTGAATAATCATCTAGACTTTTTTGTTAAGCATCCCCACCACCCTCTTTCTCCCCACAGTGCCATATATGAAATGAAATGCATTTTCTTCTGGCCTTATGCCTTCCATCTTTCTTTCTTTTTCTTTCTTTCTTTCTTTCCTTTTTTTTTTTTTTTGGCATTCATAACACTTCTGAAATCCTGGAAGATGTTCATCATTATTTCCTGCATTTAACAAAATCTTTTCTAAACTCCAGCTGTTTTCTTTTTAAGGCTTCATCTTTACAGGCTGGGGCAGATCTGAGCCAGAACATCTCACATGAAAATACTTTGTAATTATTCATCTCAATGTATAACAAAGAAACTGTTGTTTGATGATGCTTTAATAATGATGTGGCTTGTTCAGACAACAAGTAGTAAGGCTTTTGACAGTGACCAATATTTTGTAACACTTAAAATGCTGTTACTGCCACAGTTACAATTGATTTAAAACACAGTATCATGCAGAAGAAACCCAGGAACCTAAAAAAATGCTTGCAGAGTAACCTCCTCTAACAAGTGACTGAACATTTTATGGTGGATGTGTGTCCAGATTTGGGTACTTCATTGCCAGTATTTCCATATCTTGTGCCAAATTGGGGCCATGGTTACTTGAAGGTCACACCTGTTTGTCTCACTGAAGTTGTTAGTTCCTCGAGGATAGCAACTTGTTACCTATTTTCTTGGTGCTTATTGGCATCTGGTTGGTATTTAGTCCTCTGAATACATGACTTCAGTAAATTTAGTCAATGCCATTTAAAGACAAAAACTAACATCTACAAAGAAATGCAGATAAATAATATGTTGTTTAAATTCCTAGAAACAGATGTGTAATGGATAGCATTCATCAGATGGATTACATTAATCATTTTGTACAGAGTAAATATGTAATGTAGGAATAAGACTAGCTGATAAGTATACCTTAAACTTGATCAAGGAACTTTTCTTGTACTAAGAATGTATTAGAAGTTTTATTGGTAATAAAAAACTACCACCCACTTATGGAGTATTTAATTTGTGCCAGATATTCTAGCAGATGCTTTCTATGGGATTAAATTTAACCATTGTTAGAGTGACCTGAATTATAGTAATCTCTCTTTCGGCAAATAGGAGGACAGAAACTAAAAGAACTTAATAAATTTGCCCACCAGTTAGGAAGTGTCAGAGCCAGAATTGGAACCCAGATCTGTCTCCAAAACCTTTTCTCTTTCTACGATTTTCTGCCTATGTGGCTGGCAATAAGGGGGAAATTATATATTCTTTCCACTAACCAATAGATAATACATTCATGTGGTTCAGCATGCCACAGGTACAAAAGCCTCCTTCCTACCCTCTTTACCAGTCTTTTCTCCATGCCCTGCAACCATTGGTATCTGTTTCTCTCATATCCTTCCTGAGATATTTTATGTGTTTATGGCTTATATGTATATTCCCACTTTAGGACAGAAATTAGAACATAGAAACACACTTCCACACTGCATAATAATATTTGCATGATGCTTTGGTCTCTCTTCTGTTTCTTTTGTCACCTTTTTAAAAATAATGTTTTCTGAAATGTCTGACATTTTTGTGTCTCCTCTCTTTTCTATTACTGCCACCCTAGACCTCTTCTGGCCCATTGCCATGGATTCCTAAGTAGCCTGCTTCTCTCTCACCTCAAGCCCATGCAGCTAATTCAAGGTGCTACCAGTTCAGTAAACCTTGAGCACCCATCACCCCCCAAGAATGAGACATACTCTGTAAAGACAGAATTGAGTTACTTAAAACGTGTCAATAGCTTTCCACTGGCTACAGAACAGAGGCCCAGTTCTTGCTTGGAAGGCTCCATCTTCTGGTCCCAGCCTGCATTTCCAGTCAGCCAGCCCCTCCCACACACTCTAAGGTCACCACACTCACTGCTGGTTCCCTCACATGCCAGTAATTTCCACCCCTTTGTTCCTGTTTTTCTCTTCCTGGAATGCCCTCCCTTCCTTCACCACTAAGTCTCTTGTCTCCTCCTCAGATCTGATGGACTGCTCAACTTTCAAAATACCACTTTTTTTCACGATCACCTCTCCCACCTTATCCAGTGAGGGCATCACAGATGCTAGGAAACACATTTCTTCTTGTGTTTGAGGGGGATAAGTAAAAATCTTTACACAGGAGTCGCTGGTAGCATTATTGGCATGCTCTAAGCCTCTCCTACCTTCTTAGGAGCCCTAGTGCCTCCCCACCCCAATCATTGCTTCTTCCTCTGGCTCCCCATGAAAATACCTGAAGCAGGTACCTTTTCATGACATTCTGGTATAGTTCTTATGAATCTGTTTGACCCTGTCTCCTTCTCAACTCTGAATTAGCTAGCACTAATTTATCCTTGTTTCTCAAAATCGTATCCCAGTGTCTGGCACCTAGTGTATACTCCGTGCTTGCTGATTTGAATTTAGTTTGATCTCTAACTTATTTTAGGTGGATTTGTTTCCCTACTTGACTAATCCTTCCTGGCCATGTGAGATGATGTGGCACCGAGCACACACAGCCATAACTAAGGGCAGAAGGTCTTTAAGTGTTTCATTCTCAAGCTTCTTGACACTGATTGATGAATGCTGTCAACCAAGAAAAAAAAATTGTCGATTTGTACATGTTACAGATTTCACATACCATTCCTGGATTTCCCCCATTAAATCCCCAGACCTCCAATTCTCTGCTTTTAGAGATTGCTTTTTCCTTTTTTTGCAGGGCAATAGCTCGTTTTTGAGCATTATATCTTTCTGGGTAATGTTTCCTTGACATTTGATTTTCTTTTCTTAGGTACATTTTTTGACTGAGAGAGTATTTGATGCTATTATGGAATTTTCTTTTACGTTTGAAAAAACTATTGTAGATATATTTTTAAAAGATTCCTTGTCTTTTAGAGATATGTATGGTATTATTTAAGGAGGGAATTATATGACATCTGAGATTTGCTTCAGTATAATTCTGTGACCATGGAGGACAGACACTGAGTAAGAGTATGAATAAGGAAATTGACTTGTTAACACTTGAAGCTGGATGATGAGTACATTGACTTATTAAACTGTTCTCTCTACTTTTGGGTATGTTTGAAATTTTCCATAATGAAGTTTTTGAAAGGAGAATTTGGAAGTATTACAGCCTCTAAAAATTGTCATTGTTGTTTAACAAAGCAGAAGAAATAATATGAATACAAATGTTCTTTCTAACTCTTGGAGTTTAGCTTATGCAATTATTCATTTAATGTTAAAACAGTTACACCTCAGTCTGCAAAGGACTGTATTGTGAACAGTGCATTTCCATAAACTTTTCATATCACATTTTAGCTTCTCCACAAAACTAAAAGGTAGGTGGCATTGCTCAGTGCTTGTGTCAGAGGCTTATGAATATCTCACTGGAAGCTAATTTTCATCTTTTTTGAAAAATGACAAAGTAATTTGCAGACAGT